ACGTCTAAACCAACTCGTGAAGCATCATGATATGCTGTGTAAGGCCCCAAACAAGTGGGCAACACCAACACTGAGGCATTAATTGATGGAAACCCCTCCATAAAGCAATGATTGTAGTCAACCCTTAACCCACAAAAAAAATATCCGACACCACAGGCGCAACATCACCACAAATCGTCGGATCTCAATTGATCGTGCGTGCTTAACATTGCGTGCAAAAAAGTAGGAGGGAACTGAAGATAGATGCTTCAGGCTAAGATAATGTCGTACGATAAGGAATCGAGAAGGAAATTTTCAAACATCCCGTAGGTTCTCAGAGATAAGTACAGACGTCTCCATACCGATTCACTAGACTTTACTAGAATTGCTCGTGACTCGTGAGACCCTTAGAACCTAGATCTCTGATACCAATTTATCACGACCCAAAATTTTAGCTTAGGTCGTGAAGCCGCCTAGCCATCCTTGCTAAGCAAGCTAACTCACAAACAACATAATATAGTCCAGATTCCTTTAATTAACAAAGTTATATCATAAATTTAAACAGTATAATATCTTATACAATTATAACATGGTATGAACACGACCAAAACAGTATACCCCTCCCCCCCCCCCCCCCAAGAACTAGGTGACATAAGTACACGAGCAACTACTCAATAAGTATAAGTCTGAATACATAATCGAAACTGCCTAAGAGAAAGAAAAATAGATAGAAGATAATGAAGAATAAGGACTCGGGCACTATGAAACGAATCCATGAGGTACAACTCACCCAAAGTCTCTAAACAATTGCCTAGGATCAACAAGAGGCTCCGACAGAACCCACCTGAGGATCTACACAAAAAGATGTGCAAAAGCATAGTATGAGTACACCACGGTCGGTACCTAATAAGTATCAAGTCTAACCTCGAAAAAGTAGTTGCGAGGCTATAGGCATAAAAATACTTACAACACATATATAAATAACAGAGCCTGAAACCGAAACAGTAATTAGTCTCAAGAATAACAAGTGTCAAAGATATCAACAGTCGAAAATTATAAAGCATGTTTTTGTCAATTCAAGAGATAATCAAAGCGCTACTCAGATATAGTATTTAAAGATGGCATGTCTTCAATTAATGGAGCCGAGACTCCCAACTAGCATATACAAGTGACATGCAACAGTTAACATTTAAATAAATGCTTCTAATTAAATCAAGGATGTCTATGCTCAAGACTCAATCTTTTACCATGACCGGTATAAGATCCATGTGCCCAGATACCAAATCCATGTATCATTGAAACCCGATACGAAATTCATATATTGACCACACAGTCCATGTAACCACCACGCTTACAGGGTCCAAAGTAACGTGGGTAATCACCTGACTCCGGGTGGACGCTACAAAATTCAAGCGCAAAAAGAAGCTTGATAACTCACTTATAATTAAGTATTCGCTCATCATGTCCTATGCCATAACTGTATTTTAACCGCACGATCTTGACTTTCATGCCACAATCTCAGCCCAACTCAAAGTATCCAATTACAATACATATGCATGTGCCCAAGAATTAGCAGATAAAAGATACACATAGGCTTAATAATAATCATGCGGATATATGCTCATTGAATTTCTATATGACTACGGATGATTCAAGCAATTCAACATATCAAGAATACGCTTCCACGCCTTCATAAATAATCAAAAACCTAGACATGATCTCCAGCATGAATAAGAAAGCTAGTGTAGTCATTTAAGCCAAATAAATCACGAATCAAGTTGAGAACATAATCAAAATAAGGCATAAGGCATCTCAATTCTACCCTGGACATGATAGAAACTTGGTAAGTGCATATACATTCTCCACCCCATATATACATCACCTCCAATACCTTAAACACATAGCAATCAAGTCAAATCTAAGAGTTTTCCTCTTAACAAGGTTATCCAAGAGACTTACCTTTTCTTGGGCTAGCTTCAACCACAAATGGCATCAAAACCTTGCTCTAGTCCTCTAATCATGCAAATACAAGCGAAACATCATCCAAGAAAGTAAATAATGTTATAGTAAGCAATCCCAAACATAAAGGTTCGATCTTTGATGAATTCTCAAAAAGTCAACAAAAGTCAACCGGCCCGCCTGCCCGAAATCTAAAACCAATACTAAAATCCTATTACCCATAATCTATCGAGTCCAAATATATAATTAGTTGCTAAATTCGTGTCCAAATGGATGATCAAAACCCCAAAATACACTCTCTTAAAGTGTGGGAAAAACCCTAAATTTCCTTTTAAATTAATACGTTTTAGGTATAGAAATGCATGTGGATTCTTGAAATATAACCATAAATAGGTAAAAATCACTAACCCACTTGCCTTGTACGAAAACATCCATGAAAAATCGTCCCTCTCCAAGTCTAGGGCTCAAAATATGAAAGAATAGGTAAAAATCCCGGAATGACTTCTTATATAATATGCCCAAAAGTACCTTTCGTGAACGCGGCACAAGCCTCGCGTTCGCGAAGCACAAATGTTGATGCCTGATCATGCCCAACTATGCCTTATAAAAAGGACTAAGCGATCGCTGCAAATATATAATCCGGTTCAGTCCGGAGTCGAATCCCACATGGAACTAACCTATTTACTACAACTTTTAACACTGCTAATGATAAGCTCAAACAATTCTCGGATGCAAGATTTTTAATGGATAATGAGTAGAATTTAGTTAACTAAGGAAAAATGACAATAAAACTAGCAATAATCAAGAATAGAGTTGAATTCAATGGTAAAATGGTCTAGGGTTATTGATTTCCCCAATTGTCGGATTAATTCCTGACACATTAGCTATAATCTCTCCGTAACACTCTATAAGAAATATAAGTTCTGGGTTACCGCAATTATCTCTCGATCAATTACGATAATTTACTAGAAGCATTCTCTCAAACTACTCTAGTTAACAATTTATGCAACTCAGAATTATCCCACTAAAGCTTCGTTATCTCTAACCCTGCTTTTAAATTCAAGTAATTGATCTTTTAACTTACCCGAAAGTGGTGTTGTTCAACAACAATCTAACCAAGTGTTCTTTCTCAAGCAACACAAGATAACTAGACATGATTAATCAAGGGCCCTTTCAATTAATCACATGACAACACGTTGAACAATCATAGAGTAAAAACGGCTCAATTATATCAAAACAGAGTCAAGACTTCATCCAATAATTGGTTCCATCAACCCTAGATGACGGGTTTAGCTACTCATACTAATAGATAAAACTTCACTATATAAAGTCATAATAAACAATGGAATTAAAAAGAAGAAGACAAAAACTCTAAGGAAATTCTCTGTCTTCTTCCGTGTTCTTGCCTTCAAATTCTCACTAAAAACATCTATCCTTCTCTTTAGGACAAATTAGGCTTCATATAGGTTTAGGTTAGTCGCCCTGGAAATTACATAATTGACCCTGGGTTCTTGGCTTCCGTCAGCACGTCCGCGACCGCGGATTGGACCTCGGATCTGATCGCAGATCTCGCTAAGGTTCTGTCCGTGGCCGCGGAGCTAGCACTTGCTCTTCTTTCTCCTTTTCGATCGTGCTATCCTCCGATTGGCCTTCCACGCTCCATATTGACTCCAAAACACTATTTAGTTTCCTCCTAGCTCGGAGTGGCTCCTACTAACATAAAACTCTTAATTAGAGTATTTTGTTATCTTTTAACATTCAAACATTGATAAAGTGCAGCCAAATTAGAGTGTAAATAGTATCTAAATTGCATAATTATTGTCTACTATCAACACCTTAGATGATCCTTTTCAAGGAGTTTACATAAGGGGTTAGCAATCTTAGAGAAATATTTTATGAATCGCTTGTAGAACCCGGCGTGCCCAAGGAAACTTCTCACTGCCTTGATCGAGATGGGCGATGGCAACTTCTCAATCACGTCAACCTTAGCATGGTCAACCTCAATTACTTTGTTGGACACTCGATGCCCCAAGACTATCCCTTCTTGTACCATAAAATAGCACTTCTCCCAATTCGGCACTAAATTTGTCTCCACACATATTCTGGGCACTCTTCTTAAATTGTGAAGACAGTCCTCGAATGAATCCCCCACCACAGAAAAATCATCTATAAATACCTCCATAATGTATTCAACCATGTCCGTGAAAATGGCTAACATACAGTGTTGGAATGTAGCCGGTGCATTGCAAAGTCCAAAACGCATTCTCCGAAAGGCAAAGATGCCATACAAACAGGTGAATGATGTTCTCTCTCTATCTTCGGCGGCTATTGAGATTTGATTGTACCCTGAATATCCATCCAAGAAACAGAAGTGAGATTGCCCAGCCACCCTATCCATCATTTGGTTAATGAATGGAAAGGGAAAATGGTCCTTCTAGGTGGCTGTGTTAAATTTTCGATAATCCATGCAAATCCGCCATCCCGTGACTGTACGAGTCGAGATCAACTCGTTATTCTCATTTTGTACAACCGTCATTCCTCCCTTCTCCGGCACATGCTGAACAGGGCTGACCCAATTGTTGTCAGAGATGGGGAAGATGATACACGCATCTAACCATTTGATCACTTCCTTCTTCACCACCTGTTTCATATTCGGGTTAAGCCTTCGTTGATATTCTCTGGAAGGTTTGTGCCCTTCTTCCAAGAGAATCTTGTGCATACAAAAAGCTGGACTGATACCTTTATGTCTGCCATGGTCCAACCAATAGCAGTCTTACATTCTTGTAACACCTGTAGGAGTTGCTCTACCTACACAACTATGATATAATAACAGGTAAAGTGGAATAAGGTCCTAAGAAAGCGTACCTGAGATGCGCTGGAAGCGGTTTCAGGTCTAACTGTGGTGGCTCCTCTATCGATGGTTTCGCAGGTGGTGTTGTTCTTTCTTATAAGTGTAGGGGCTTGAACTGGGGTTCCCTTTTCCAGAACCCTTGACCTTCAAGATCCACGACCCACTCTGACAACTCCTCACCATTCACATTTTCCAGATTCATCAAGCAGGCTTATAATGGATCCCTGACATTAATAGTCTTATCATCCTCTTGTAGTATTACATCTATGGCCTCCACTAGTGAGCAATTTGCAAATTTGCTGGGTCTCCTCATAGATTGTTGAACATTGAATATTATCTCTTCATTATTCAACCTCATTTTCAATTCTCCAGTCTCACAATCAATCAATGCTCTCCTAGTGGGTAAAAACGGCCTGTCCAGAATGATTGGTATCTCTTCATCCACTTGACAGTCAAGAATGACGAAGTCTGCAGGTAGTACAAATTTCCCCACTTGAACAAGCATATCATCAAGAATTCATCTCGATCTTTTTGCTGTGTGATCAGCCAATTGCAGCAACATTGAGGTCGATCTAGCTCTGCCAATGCCCAGTTTTGTATAGATTGCCAAGGGCATCAAGTTTATACTGGCTCCCAAGTCACACAATGCTTTAGCAAAAGCATAACTCCCAATGGTGCATGGGATAGTGAAACTACCTGGATCAGACACCTTTTGAGCTGTAGGCCTTGTCATTATCGCGATGCAGGTCTGTGTCAGAGTTACAGTGGACAGGTCCTGGAAGTCAAATTTTCGCGACATCAGGTCCTTCATCATTTTTGCATACCCTGGCATTTCCCTCGAAGCATCCATCAGTGGAATATTCAATTGAATTTGTCTGAGCATTTCCATGAATTTCTTGTATTGATCATCTTTCTTTTACTTTGCCAACCTCTGAGGGAATGGTGCAGTAATCAACCTTTGCCCACTGCTTTGTGTCTTTTCTTTGCTGGAAGCTTTTTCTACTACCTATTATGGGAGTTGTTCACCTTCCTTCTTGTCAACCTGCGCTTGCTCGATTACAACCTCGGTGAGCTCTGCTGACTCATCTGTCTCTAATGTAACTGGAGTAACTAGAGTAGTTGGCGTTGTCTCTCTCCTAGATTGAGCAACTTCTTGCTCCCTGTCTAAATCTCTTCCATTCCTGAGACTCACTACCATGAGCTGATTTGGGTTCTGCTCCTTTGGACTAATGTTTGTATCTGCAGGCAATGTTCCTTGTAAGCGATTGTTCAAGGCCATAAATAGCTGTCCCAATTGAGTTTCAATGCCTTTGATTGCTGAATCATGTGCAACTAACTTCTCTTGCATCTTTCCATTTATCCCAATGAGTTGCTGCAGCATAACCCTAATTTCGATCATGTTACTGTCCTACTGTTGATGAGGTGGTTGGTAGGCTAACTGTTGCTGGTATTGCTGATTATAGCCTTGCTGCCTTTGATAAGGCACGACTTGGCCTTGTGGTCATGCTCCTCCTGGATTGGGGTTGTGTTGTGGCTGGTTTGGTCTGTACTGCTGGTTTGATGTTGGTCCCCATTGCTGCCCACCTTGCCTCTGACCTCCGAAATTATTGACATAATTCATGTCTTCTCTGAAACATTGGTTGTCATTCTCTCCACTCCACAATTACACATATGACTGGTTCATTCAAGGAGTGCATAAGCATCCATTTGTGGTATCAACAATGTGCACCTGTTTCGTACCCATCTCATCGATTTTCTTTGTCAGCAAGCTCATCTGGGTCATAAGGGTGGCTATGTTTTCTACATTTGTGTTGTTTGGGTCAAGAGCGACATAATGCACTATTTGGTGAGTGTTGTGTCTCTCGTCATCCACCCTGAATTTTGAGGCATCTTGTCAAGAAGAATCTTACACTCTCTGAAGGTTTTGCTTAAGAATGCACCCCTGGCAGAAGCATCTACTTTGGCCTTCAGACTGTCAGCCAAACCCATATAGAATCTCTGTCCCAGCATCTGATCCGGAATGCCATGGTGAGGACACTTCACCAACATACCCTTAAACCTCTCCCAGGTTTCTTGCAAAGTCTCAGTCGGTTTCAACCTGAATTGCAATATCTCATCAATTTGCCTCACAGTTTTGTTGGGTGGATAAAACTTGTTTAAGAACTGCTTGACTAGTTCCTCCCAAGTAGTAATGGAGTTTATTGGGAGCGAATTTAGCCAAGTTTGAGCCTCCCCGATCACTGAGAATGGGAACAGTAATAATTTGATCGCCTCAGGAGTCACATTCGGCTGTCTTTGAGAGACACATATTGATAAAAAGTTCTTTAGATGTTGTTGCGGGTCTTCGATGTATGACCCGGAGAACAACCCTTTATTCTGCAACAGGTGCAACATGTTGTTGGTAATCTGGAATGTCTCCGCTTGTATTTGAGGAACCGCAATTGTTGTGGCCAAGTTATCAGCATTTGGTTATGCCCAATCATAAAGAGCAGCTTCCGGCATAAGAGGTGCTACCACTCTGACGTTTGGGTCATCTTGATCATTCATGTTGTTCTTGTTGACGCTATCTACGTCACCCATTTCAATTTCAATTTGTTCATTTTGTTTCAGCTGTTCTTCTTGTTAGCCCGGGTCAATGTCCGGAATGCTTTCTCGAGATCTGAGAGTCCTTCAAAGATTTCACCAGTTCTCAAAGAGCTTCTAGCATGCACCTGAGTCACAGAAGAGTTCAAACGTGAGAATTTCAATGGAAATATTTTTAAAACCACAAAAAAATGATTTAAACTAATAATCCTAGCAATTATTCCAAGATGCATTAAATAACACCGTTCGTTCCCCGGCAACGACGCCAAAATTTGATCACGTCCCACTATGCCTTATAAAAAGGACTAAGCGGTCGCTGCAAATATATAATCCGGTTCAGTCCGGAGTCGAATCCCACAGGGAACTAACCTATTTACTACAACTTTTAAACAGCTAATAATAAGCTCAAACAATTCCCGGATGCAAGATTTTAATGGATAATGAGTAGAATTTAGTTAACTAAGGAAAAATAATAATAAAAACTAGCAATAATCAAGAATAGAGTTGAATTCAATGGTAAAATAGTCTAGGGTTATTGATTTCCCCAAACGTCGGATTAATTCCTGACACGTTAGCTATAATCTCGCCGTAACACTCTATAAGAAATATGAGTTTTGGGTTACCACAATTATCTCTCGATCAATTACGATAATTTACTAGAAGCATTCGAACTACTCTAGTTAACAATTTATGCAACTCAGAATTATCCCACCAAAGCTTCGTTATCTCTAACCCTGCTTTTAAATTCAAGTCATTGATCTCTTAACTTACCCGAAAGTGGTGTTGTTCAACAACAATCTACCAAGTGTTCTTTCTCAAGCAACACAAGATAACTAGACACGATTAATCAAGGGCCCTTTCAATTAATCACAAGACAACACGTAGTTGAACAATCTTAGAGTAAAAACGACTCAATTATATCAAAACAGAGTCAGGACTTCATCCAACAATTAGTTCCATCAACCCTAGATAACGGGTTTAGCTACTCATACTAATAGATAAAAGTTCACTATATAAAGTCGTAATCAACAATGGAACTAAAAAGAAGAAGATAAAAACTCTAAGGAAATTCTCTGTCTTTCTTCCATGTACTTGCCTTCAAATTCTCTATAAAAACAATTATCCCTCTATTTTGGAGGAGTTAGGCTTCATATATGTTTAGGTTAGTCGCCCTGGAAATTACATAATTGACCCTGGGTTCTTGGCTTCCGTCAGCCCGTCTGCGGCCACAGATTGGACCGCGGATCTGACCGCGGATTTCGCCCATGTTCTGTCCGCAGCCGCGGAGCTGGCACTTGCTCTTCTTTCTCCTTTTCGACCGTGCTATCCTCCGATTGGCCTTCCACGCTCCATATTGACTCCAAAACACTCTTTAGCTTCCTCCTAGCTCGGAGTGGTTCCTGGAAAACGTAAAACTCTTAATTAGAGCATTTTGTTATCTTTTAACATTCACATTGATAAAGTGATGCCAAATTAGAGTGTAAATAGTATCTAAATTACATAATTATCGTCTACTATCACTGCCCCAGAAATAGTCTATGCGATCGTGTCTGAAGCCTGCGATCGTGAAAGCCAACAAGCCAACACATCGCGAACGCGAAAGCAAACGAGCCCCCAACCTGCTCCGACTCTACGCGAACGCAATCTCTTATATATAAACATAGAGGCCAAGCTTACCACTACTACGCGAACACGAAGCAAAATTTCCAGCTAGCCAAGATTCTTCTCTGCAAGCCTAGCTTTGCGATCACGATGCTCTGCAAAACACTAGCAACTCAACTACTCCAAAACACATAGAAATGGTCTAAAATCATCTAGGATCACATCCGATCCATCGGGACCCCTTATAATTATACCAACAAGTTCAAATACAATAACAAAACTTATCAAATCTCTCAAAATATTGCAAATAACATCAAAACCACGAATCAGAGATCGAAATCATTTTCTTAAGTTCCAACCATTCCAACTTTGTTGAACTCGTTTGAATCACACTTAGATATTTAAGATCACAATCAAACTTTTTAAACAAGTTCAAGTACACCAAATGAATCTAACCAAAGTCTCGAATACTGATAGGACCCTGATAACATCAAAGTCAACTCCCAGTCAAACCTATGAACTCTCCAATTCTTCAAATCACCAACTTTCGACAAATAGAGCCAAAACTTTTTAGGAATATCCAAATTCAAATTCTAACATATGTCCAAGTCTAAAATCATCACATGAACCTATTGAAGTCGTCAAATCTCGATTCCGATGTTATTTACTCAAAAGTCTAACCTTGGCTAACTCTTCCAACTTAAGTCTTTCAGATTGAGAATTGCTTTTTCAAATCAATCCCAAACCTCTCGAACATCGAAACCAACCATATACATAAATCATAATCTATCATATAAAGCTACTCAAGGTCTCGAACCGCCGATTGAAATGCTAATGCTCAAAACGACCGGTCGGGCCGTTACGTTACTCCTAGTTTCGAACCCCATGAACAATTCATGGGGTTCAATCCTTTATAAGTTCAAACTGTAAGAACGATTCATGGAGTTCAAAATTTTGCAATATCAAAGTCCAACAATGATTACCGGAGTTCAAACTTAGCTCTTAAATTGTATTCTTTTCCCTATTCCTATAAGTAGCACATATGCTGGGTGGTAATTATTTACAATATCTTTTATCTTTTCTTTATGATCTAACAATGATAAAAAAACTGATTTCTTGTTCATATAGATTAACAACTAATGCCCATAAACTTCATCTAACCATATGACCTCCACCCACCATAACATAAAGGAGTACAAGAAAATTTTGGATGATATAGGCGACGTGTTCGATGAAATTACCGATATCGATGTCATTTCAATGGAGTATTCGTATGAGTGGGTTGTAAGCACAGTCTAGTATCGTGCGTTAGAGTTTTACTTGAAAAATTCAAAAACTCTAGTATGATATACCGGAAATCCTTCTGTAGGAGGATTTCAAACCCATGTACAATTCATGAAGTTTAGACTACTAAATGTTCAAACTCCAATAATCGCTCTTGGAGTTATTCCGTGTTCCATAGAGGGATATTTATGTTCAGATTTTATTTTCACATTAAGGAGTGACTACCAATACAATTTAAAAATTAGCTTAATTCTAATAACCGGCCTAAAAAGTAGCAATCCTAGCTAATTTTATGGGGAAACTACACAATATACCCATTAGACTCAAATTAATTACCCGTTTTTGCCCATCTAAGGATGAATTACTATTCCTACCTATCCA